GAGCCTAATGAGGGGCTTTTGCAAATACTCGAGCCATGATCTTTCATCTTCCCAGTTCGTATAGAATTTAGACATTTTTATTATTTATTTTTTGTCCAATATGAAATATGTATATTTTATTTTATATAATTGAAACACAGATTCGCACTTTTATAGAAAAATATGAAATAGTGAGCAGGTTACATCATTGGCACTGAAGCTACCAGGAAAACTGAATAATTTACAGTTTTTCGAAATGGTAAGCAAATTTATTATTACCTTTGGACAAGAGACATTCAGAAATTCAACAAATTGGCCAAAGGCGTGAAATTGTCGAGCCAAGGGCTACGAAATTGTGCCCAGAAAGAGTCTTGATTCCAGTCCATGCTCAATTTGGGCACTTGGAGATGTTCCATTTTCTCTTGACTATTTGGCAACGTTATACTGTTAGTCGAAATCTTGGTTAAACTTTCCTCGGATGCATCACTATATTCTTCCTCCAACATGGAGTCCATGGATGGCAGTGTTGGAACTGTCATTACTTGTTGCGGTTCCATTGCAGCAGCCCTCTGCTCCATCATCTTCAGAGAGGTTGCCTTCCTATAAATTTTACACAGTACGATGTCACATGTATCTGGTAATCGATATTCATTCATGATCCAATCAGTCTTTTGTCCTCGAGGTGCTCTCCCCTCGTAAAACACAAGTGTCTTTTTCAGACCCAACATTCTTTTTGGATCAGAAATGCTTAGTATTTTCCGATCAGAGCCTGTTGCCTTCCAAAACCCATTTTTAGTTGTCCTGTTTGGCCTCCCTCCACTCCCATGTTTCTTGTCCCTTGGAACAAAGAAGTACCATTCTCTTTCCCCAATTTTCGCCAGCCCTGTTTGAACAAAATCAAAATGAGAACTTGAGCACACACTCTTCTTGACACTGTCTCACATTTTAACATACTAAGAAGAAACAATTTTGACCATTGCTTAGTTACCTGGCAATTCCCAAGGAGCGTGATGGTAAATATTAAGATAGCCTATGATATCAGTGGTGAACAATTTTTTCCCCGAGACCATGTTTTTAAGGTAGAAACTGAGAAGTTCTTCCTCAGTAGGATGAAATCTGAAACCTGGCAACTTAAGCTCTGATGTTGATTCATCCATTGGCATTATAAGTTTTTCAGAAATTGTTTATTTCTGTCGTATTTTTGGCATGCAAACTTAAACAAAGTGGAGGGTTCATTTATAAACAATTTAGCAGTGATGTCACAGACAAAGACCTGAGTTTTTTAGAACGAGTCTTCGATAGAACAATGGAGTAGGAAAAGGAGACTTTACTTCATTTCACGCGTTTATAAGGACACTATTGTCGTCATATGTTTCAATCGTGAAATTCCATTAACATTTGTCTTTCAATTTCTTCAAATTTCCAAGAAATTCTGTTGGTCTGAAATTTAAACATCTTGACTTGGTCATATTAACAAATAACAATAGATTATTTATTGTTTACAACTCTATAATTATACGAGTCTAGATATACAGTGTCTGAATTTGTTATTTCCTTTTTTTTTTAATCTCTTCAATACATTCTTTGATGTATGAACACATCATTTATTCTTAACAAATAAAAAAATGTATATATATTTTTTGACATCTTGATACATCATACACTGTCGTCAGTGTATTTGATTGACTTTATTTTTCATGAAAAATGTCATTTTTTCACCCAATTTCCTAGTACTTGATTAACATTTTTATCCATAGAAAATAATTTTCAAAAGTTGGTCACGTAATTATATTCTCTTCAAAAACAAGAAAAATATTTTCTTCAGGAAGGGATAAGTTTTTATTTTCCAGGAAATTATTTCTCTCGCATTTACCCATTTTCTTTCATCTACCCACAAATAAAAAAGGGCAAATATAATATTTATTAGGTTAAAAATTAAACAAATCAAACACATTTTATTAATAATTTTCATGCAAATTCCGTATTCCTAAGAAAAGATGATACACCGGGTTGTCAGAAATGTATTGAAAGACAAGTAGACAACAAGTCAGGAATAACATATATTTATTTATTATTAATTTGACAATAAAATTGTAGAATTTTTATTCCGGTAAATTTCAATTGTCATAATTGTGATCATGAAACAAGTAGTAAATTTTGTGAATTCAGAGATGAATATATATGTCTTTTCGCGTTGAGTTCAATATTTTGTAAATAATTTTCTTGCCATGACTTGGTCCACGCTTACTAGAGCTTCAAACTTTATGAGGACAAAAGACTAAAAAAAGAAAATCAATCTAGTCCTATTAAGCTTTGATTGATATTTGTTTTATAATATTGTAAAGTTGAGTTTTTGCCTTTTTAGAAAGTGTAAGTTGCCTAAAAAATAGAAACCTACCACTTCATTAAGAATTTTTTTTTTATTTTATTTTTTAAAAAATAATAGTCATGTGACCAATTTTTGAAAAATATTTTTCATAAAAAAAAATAAATTAATCAAACACCTCAAAAGTGGATAGTTAGGTGGAAAAATGATATTTTTCCATGAAAAATAAAGCCAATTATACACACTCTAATATATTTATCAGAAAATATGTTGCATGATATTAAAAATTTGTATTTATCGTCTTAACTAAATAAATTTATTAGAATTAGATGAAATGTCAAAACTCAAGCATAAATCATGTATTGCCCCTGTTTTGTGCACATTTTTGGGGGGGGTACGAATGCATTTTTACTGTTGATGTGATGATGAATATATGGTTAAAAAAAAGGAAAAATTATTGATGTGATATAAAATATTATTTATGTGGTTCAAACAGGGCATTAGAAAGTAATAAAAGAGTGCAATAATCTATTTGGGAGAGATTCTCATTTTCTAC